TTTAGAATGACTAAACCCGCCACACAAAGAGATCAAGACACTAAACCAATTCACCAAGTAATTTTAAGGTCAAAAACCCAAGACTTAGCCACACCAAAGGACACCACAAAGAATAATCCACACAATCACAAAAACTCACAAAACCTAAACAATTAATCCTCACAATATTCAATTAAACCCATAATGCTTTACATAAAAGCACAAATACTCAACAACTATCAATTCAACCAAGATTGCAAGCAAAAATAAGCACAAAACAACAAGTTTCAAGTATGGAAATAGTAAGTGGAAGGAACGATTATACCGAGCTTAACGTGGGTGTAAAACCCGCAAATGAACCTTCCTAGCCTTCCTTTCCCTTGCTTGAACCTTTTCCTTCAACCAATTGTTAAAATTTCAATCCAAAAGAAAACCCCCAAATTGATTTTTTTCTTCTTAGGGTTTCGGTTAATGGGTGATTTTTGGGTTGAAGATTGGAGAAAGGAGTAGTATTTTGCGTTTTTGTTGAAAAGGAGTGTTGATTATGGTGGGAAATGTTGAATTTTGGGTGAGAATTTGAGTGTTTGAGGGTTGAGAGGAGGAGTAAGAGGGGTTAGAGAGAAGGAGGAGAACCGTGGGTTTGAGAGGAAGAACAAAAAATTGTGGCTTTTTTTCGAGCAGTTTCGGCCTTAAATACTTGGTATGCACGGACGTGCAGCATTGGCACGGACGTGCAGCTCAAGTCAGAACGTGCTTAACTTTCTGCCTGTAAAAGCACGGACGTGCCATTATCGGCATGGACGTGCTGCTTTTGGCACGGACGTGCTGCTTTTGGCACGGACGTGCTTAACTTGGCAGAATACTTCTCAACTTTCTGCCTGTAAAAGCACGGACGTGCCATAATCGGCACGGACGTGCTGCTTTTGGCACGTTTACTCTCCTTTTTTTTTTTTTTTTTGAGTAAAATTACTAAAATACTCGGGTTGCCTCCCGGAAGCGCTTCTTTATTGTCACTAGCTTGACCATATTACGTTTTCAATCACGAGGGATATCAAATTCATCTAAATGAACTACCTTTGTTTCTTCTTGCACGAAACCATCGAAGTATGCTTTCAACCTTTGGCCATTAACTTTGAATGGTTCACCTTTGTCGTTGGAAATCTCAATGGCGCCATATGGGAATATCTTTGTAATGGTGAAAGGGCCACTCCATCTTGATTTTAGCTTTCCCGGAAACAACTTCAACCGGGAGTTAAATAGCAAGACCTTGTCACCCTCCTTGAACTCTCTCTTGTTGATGTGCTTGTCGTGCCATGCTTTGGTCTTCTCCTTGTAGATCTTTGCACTCTCATATGCATCTAACCTCAACTCTTCCAAGGCATGGAGGTCAAGCATCCTCTTTTCTCCGGCGGATTGGATATCAAAATTCAAGGTTTTGATAGCCCTGTGCGCACGATGTTCCAGTTCCACCGGTAGATGGCATGATTTCCCATAAACGAGCTTGTAAGGGGTGGTGCCAATAGGAGTCTTGAAGGCGGTGCGGTAGGCCCATAGAGCATCATCCAACCTTGATGACCAATCCTTCCTTGACCTATTCACCGTCTTCTCTAGTATCAACTTAATCTCCCTATTTGAAATTTCAGCTTGACCACTTGTTTGAGGGTGGTAAGCCAATGACACCTTGTGCCTCACTCCGTATTTTTCAAGGAGAGCCTTGAAAGATCGCTTTGCAAAGTGCGATTCTCCATCACTTATTACGGCACGTGGCACACCAAACCTAGGGAAAATGACTTTCTTGAACAACTTGACTACTACCTTAGCATCATTTGTAGGAGATGCAACCGCTTCAACCCACTTTGATACATAGTCGACGGCCACCAAAATGTATTTGTTCCCAAAAAAGGATGGGAAAGGTCCCATAAAATCTATTCCCCACACATCGAAAATTTCCAGCTCTAAAATGTTATTCAAAGGCATTTCATTCTTTCTTGACAAATTACCGGTCCTTTGACACCGGTCACAAGCTTTAACAACTCCCCATACGTCCTTGAACATAGAGGGCCAATAGAAACCGCATTGCAATATTCTCGCCAATGTCTTGTTAGCACTCATATGTCCTCCACAAGGTGAGGAGTGACACATTGTGATAACTTCATGAATTTCATCGTCGGGGACACACCTTCTAAAAAGACCATCAACACCTTGTTTGAAGAGCAAGGGGTCATCCCAAAAGTATTGGCGGACATCATGGAGGAACTTCCGCTTTTATTGATAGGTGAGGTCGGGAGGAAGGATGGAGCAAGCCAAGTAATTTACAATATCCGCAAACCATGGGGCCGGGGCTTGAATGATTGCGAATAATTGATCATCCGGGAATGAATCATCAATTGGCAAAGCTTCAATTTCACCTTCTACGATCGGTAGCCGTGAGAGATGATCGGCTACTACATTCTCGGCACCCTTCTTGTCCCGAATTTCTATATCGTAGTCTTGTAAGAGCAAGACCCACCTAATCAACCTTGGTTTAGCGTCCTTCTTGGACAGCAAGTACTTCAAAGCCGCATGGTCGGTGAAGACTATAACTTTGGAGCCCACCAAGTAAGACCTAAACTTTTCGATAGCATGGACGATGGCTAGGAGCTCTTTTTCAGTCGTTGTGTAGTTTCTTTGTGCTTCATCAAGAGTTTTGCTAGTGTAATAGATGGCATGGAGCTTTTTATCCTTCCTTTGCCCAAGCACAGATCCAACGGCATAGTCCGAAGCATCACACATGAGTTCAAAAGGGAGCTCCCAATTCGGTGGTTGAATGATGGGAGCCGTGATCAAAGCTTCCTTCAACCTATCAAAGGCTAGCAAACAATCATTAGAAAACACAAAAGGGGCATCCTTACCAACAATTGAGTGAGCGGCTTAGCGATTTTGGAAAAATCTTTAATGAACCGGCGGTAAAAACCCGCGTGTCCAAGAAAACTCCTTATACCCTTCACATTAGTGGGGGGAGGGAGGCGCTCAATAACCTCAATTTTGGCACGATCAACCTCAATGCCCCTACTAGAAACAACATGTCCCAACACAATACCCTCTTCAACCATGAAATGACATTTTTCCCAATTAAGCACAAGGTTCACCTCTTGACATCTTTTTAACACTTTAATCAAATTACTTAGGCAAGTGTCAAAAGATGAACCGCAAACAGAAAAGTCATCCATAAATACCTCGATTGATGATTCAAGCATGTCGGAAAAGATAGACATCATACACCTTTGAAATGTAGAAGGTGCATTACATAATCCAAATGGCATCCTTCGATAAGCAAAGGTGCCAAAAGGGCATGTGAATGTAGTCTTCTCTTGATCCTCGGGTAGGATAGGGATTTGGAGGAATCCCGAATACCCATCCAAGAAGCAATAGTGACTATGTGATGCCAACCTTTCCAAGATTTGATCGATAAAGGGGAGAGGGAAGTGGTCCTTCCGAGTGGATTTGTTCAATTTTCGATAGTCTATGCACATTCTCCACCCGGTGACCGACCTTGTAGAAATGGTCTCACCCTTATCGTTCTTGATAATGGTCATGCCCCCTTTTTTTGGAACAACTTGAACCGGGCTAACCCACTTGCTATCGGAGATAGGGTAGATTATGCCCGCTTCAAGAAGTTTCAAAACCTCTTTTTTAACAACTTCTTTCATGTTGGGGTTGAGCCTTCTTTGGTGCTCAATTGAGGAGTCATGATCATTATCAAGCAAAATCTTGTGCATGCATATCGTGGGACTTATCCCCTTAATGTCATCAATGGCATACCCAATGACACTCCTATACTCCCTCAACACAACTAGGAGTTTCTCAAGGGAAGTGTCATCAAGGTTGGTATTGACAATAACGGGATAAGTCTCATTATCATCAAGAAAAACGTATTTAAGTGAAGGGGGAAGGGGTTTAAGTTCAACCTTAGGAGGAGGCGTAGACCTCTCCTCTTTTACCTCCACCTTAAGTGCTTCAAACTCCCTTGCCTTGCCATGTAGGGGTTGGTCTAGCAACAACTTGTACCCCTTAGCTTCATCATCATCATTGTACAAACTTTCCGTGAGGATCGCTTGTAGAGTATCTTTGCTATTGTTCATCATCTTCAATTCCTCCACTTCTCGGTCAAGAGTATCGATTCTATTGATATCCTCATACATAGGCTTCCTCATGGCTTGCGAGAATGAGAAAGAAATTTTCTCATCTCCCACATTCAATGTTAGCTTGCCTTGTTTCATATCAATTACCACTCCCGCCGTGTTCAAGAACGGCCTTCCCAAAATGAGAGGAACCTTGTTGTCCTCCTCCATTTCCATCACCACAAAGTCACAAGGTAAAAAACTCTTCCCACTTGTACCGGTACATCTTCAAGTATTCCCATTGGTAACCTAACCGAACGATCGGCTAATTGTATTGAGATTCTTGTTGGCTTCATCTCACCAACTTTTAAATTTTTCGCAATTGAGAAGGGCATCAAGCTTACACTTGCCCCAAGATCACAAAGAGCATCCATGGCTTCCATATCTCCAATCTTCACCGGAATTGCATAGCTACCCGGGTCACCAAGCTTTCGGGGAAGCTTGTTTTGAATGATTGCGCTCACCTCCATTGGAAGGGAGATGGTTGCACTCTATTCAAGCCTACTTTTGTTGGACAAGAGATCTTTTAAAAATTTCGCATATGTAGGCATTTGTGACATAGCATGAAGAAAGGGAATGTTCACTTGGAGCCCTCTCATGACCTCAAGGAACTTTGAAAACTTCTCATTCAATTTTTTCTCTACCAACCTATGAGGGAAAGGAATAGGTGGATTGTAGACTCTCATTGGGGGTTTCTCCACTTCAACTTCAACTCCCTCTCCTTTCTTTGTGTCTCCCTCAACACTCTTTTCTTTTTCTTTTCTCTCAACTTCTACCACCTCATTTTCAACATCATTCTCACTTCTCACCTCCACACCCTCATCTCTCTTTTGTGGCACATCTTCACTCATTACCGGACCTTCATACCCTCTCCCGGACCTCAATGTGATAGCCTTGACATGCTCCTTTGGGTTTCACAACCGTTGAGCTTGGAAATTGACCACTAGCATTGGAGGTAGAACTCCCAACTTGTTGTGCAATTTGAGCTAGTTGATTCTCAATTATTTTGTTGTGCGCTTGAAGTTGTTGGATGTTGGAGCTCATTTCTGCATTGCTCTTCCCTTGTTGATTTATGAAAGACTCAAGAGCGGCCTCAAGGGAAGTCTTTTGGGGTGGAGGAGGTTGTTGGTTGAATTGCTGTCTTTGTTGGTTTGGATGGCGGTATGGGGCTTGGTGATTTTGTTGATTTTGGTTGTAGATGTTTTGAGGAGGGTTATTGTAGTTGGATTGTTGGTTTTGATTGGGTTGTCTCCACCCTTGGTTTTGTTGCCTCCAACCTTGATTGAAAGGTTGCTCATTTCTTTGGTTCATGGCCGCAACTTGCTCATTAGTAGCATTGCAATATGAAGCCATGTGATCATTACCCCCACAAGTCTCACAAGACATGACTTGTGGTTGTGGTTGTGAAGAGGAGGTACCGCTTGAGGAGGTTGCTTGGTCTAGCTTGTGAGCTAGCATATCAAACTTTGAGGCAATGAGATCTATTGCACTCAACTCATGCATACCTTTCTTCTTCGGTTGACTTTCTCTTCTATCATATCTATAGGCGTAATGCCTTGCAACTTCTTCAATCATATTCTCGGCTTCTTCCACCGGTAGCTTTTTAAGACTACCACCGGCTCCGTTGTCAAGATTGGCCCTTGAGGTAGGAGTGAGACCGTCGTAGAAGCTTTGAATAATCATCCATAAAGGCAACCCATGGTGTGGACACTTCCTCTTTAGATCCTTGAATCTTTCCCATGCTTCACCTAAGGTTTCATCATCCTCTTGAGTGAAGCTTGTAATCTTCCTTCTCAATTCCGCGGTCTTTTCGGGCGGACAAAACTTCCCAAGAAATGCTTTGGTAACCTTTTCCCATGTTGTTAAGGATCCTTCTTTCACGGACCTCAACCAACACTTAGCCTTGTCCCTAAGAGAGAACCGAAACATATGCATCCAAATGAATTCCTCCGTGAGGTTGTTTTGCTTGATGGTAGTGCACAACTCAAGGAAGTTGTCTAAATGAGCTAGAGGGCACTCATTTGCACTCCCCCCGAACTGTTCACTTTGGATCATCCTTATGAGTTGAGGAGAGAACTCATAGTTGTTTGCATTGGTGGTGGGAAGAAGTATGCCACTCCGAAGTTGGAATGCATCGGGGTGGTCATAGTCTTGTAGAAGTGGAGGAGGCGGTGGGTTGGCCATCTCTTGCTCGTTGTCAAGATTATCCTCCGACTCGGAATCCGTATAAGCTAGAGAAAATTCCGGCATGCCTTGTAGGAGCCTTCTTACGTTCCTCAAAGTTCTATTTAACTCCGGATCTACGGGGATAAGCGGTGATTGCTTACTCCTCCGTGTCATGCACAGTCAAACAAAGCTAAGGAAAACGTTAGCAATGACTATCACAAAGTAAACACGCTTAAACAAAAACAAAATAAGAAGATTATATACATATACACAAATCTAGACTCATTCAACAATAACTTATTCAATGTGACTTTGCCTCCCCGGCAACGGCGCCAAAACTTGATAGGACGTCGTCAACCTATCAAGAAATAAGACCTAACTCGATCCTACTCAACTAGTAGCAAGGGCAAGAAAGGGTCGAACCCATGAGAGGCGTTGAATCAACCACCAAATGTTATTGTTTAAACAAGCTAGATTAAGTCGGGGGTTTTAAGTTGGTATTACGTCACACTATTCTAATTCAAATCAACTAATTCTAAGAGGTGATTAACAATATTAAGAAGGCCTAGGGCATGGGTTACACCACTAAACTTCATCACGGACCACAAGTAGCATGCATAGAAATGGTGATTTAGGGGATAAATTAGGGGAAGTTATCAAATGCACCCAACTACTCTCTCAAGCTAGAGGGATTACTTGACATCAAAACCATAACCTACTCTCGTGATTATGGGCAAGAAACAAGTGTTAAAACATCCTCACGATAACATGCAAAATTCCCTTGACTAGAAATTCCTATTCTCATGGCAAATCAAGTCAATCAAGCATAAGGGAGCTTCCTCAAGTTCATCTCTCGATCCTTCGTTGAGGAAGCTAGATAAATAATTCAAGCAATGGCCAATTACAAGAATTAACAATGAAACCTCTTAAACTCAACTAATTAACACCCCACAATTAACAAATTAGTTCATGCAACAAGTGTTGGTGATTACATTGAGGGTTCACCCAAACCCTAGAAATTAGACTACTCACAATCCATGGAGGTTAAAGCAATTAAAGATTTCAAGGAATTCATGAACAAATTAAAACTAAGAATTAAGTAGAATCTAACAATTAAACATGCAAAGAACAACCAAACAATTAATAAAAAGCAAGAATTAAAGATAGAAGAGAGAAAGAAAGAGTAAGAAAAAATTACTAGAAGCTTCAATAATTGACTAACAATGGTGGAACTTGTCTTCTACAATGATTGGATTGAAAAACCTTCAAAACAAGAACTAAAATCTATGCTAATTTGAGGATTTTTGTGTTTCAAACTAAGAGGAGTATGAAAATCTGGAAAAAATTGGGAACCCCACTAAAATGGTCCAAAGGGGCTATTTATATTACCCCCTAAAATAAGAGGACGGTGAAAACAAGAAACGGGTAAACTGTAGGTCTGCACGGACGTGCTGAAGTTGGCACGTCCGTGCAGACCAAGGCAGAAACTCAGTTTAAGACGACCTGCTGCAGCACGGGCGTGCACCTTTGGCACGTCCGTGCTGCATCATCTGCACGGACGTGCAATATTTGGCACGTCCGTGCAGGCCTTGGCAGAAAGATGGCTTCAGGTCTGCACTCCTGCACGGACGTGCAACATCTTGCACGGCCGTGCTGCCTCATAATCACGGAAGCACGTCCTTGCTGCATCATCTGCACGGACGTGCAATATTTGGCACGTCCGTGCAGGCCTTGGCAGAAAGATGGCTTCAAGTCTGCACTCCTGCACGGACGTGCAACATCTTGCACGGCCGTGCAGGGTCTTCTGGGCCCTTTTCTTCGTGTTTTCTTCTACGATGCTCTTGTACTTGGATTCTTTCCATCATTTCCTTGCTTCTAACCTCGGTTTGGTAACCATGGGCTTCATTTGGTCGTCTTTGGACCTAAAATCTTAACAAAAACACTAACAACCCGTGAAGCATAGGATACACAAAAATTGCATAATAATAGGGTAAAAGTGAACCAAAACACAAATTTGTTCAGGTAAACTAGGTTCAAATACGCCCTAAAACCGCATAAAATAGCAAGTTATCATGTGTAAACCCTTCGGGGCAGAATAATCCTTGAAAGTACATTTTGAATTATTAATGAAAGGCCTCCGAGCCACTTTTTTCTACGAACATTTGCAATCTTTACTCTTTCATCTTTTCTTTATTCTATCTACTCTTTAAGGGTTTCCTTCGGCCTTGTCTGAAACCTTCGCCCACAGGGCACCAGTTTCGGATTGCCGATAAACTCGCCTTTTTAAAGAACACTGGTCTTTCGGCTGAGGTGAAAACCTCAGTAAGACTTGTTCTACAAGGCAATGAGTCCATGGACAAATCTGGGATATTTCCTTAACTGAGCCTTGTATCCCAGAAAGCCTTTATTTGAAACACTGCCTTCGGTTAGCCCTATATTTGAGATATCCATTTTTTTCAGATAGACAGAAAATCAAGAGCAATAGCACAACTGATAGAAAATAAACAATGTAACGAAAAGCAATCTCAGAAATCTGAAGATCAAGTTTTCAAATCTCTAGGGAGGCAAGAAGCACCACAGGTGCAGACTGCCTCAACTGAGACCTTCAGACCGAAGCTTTGTACTTAGCAATAAAAAAAATGGACTCTCGCCCAAAGTAATCCAAATATGCAAGCATGCAAGTTCAAAGCAAGGCAATAAGAGGAAAATGTCAGATTCATATATGAAAGTCATGCTCGGATTACGAGCTACAAGCATAAAAATGTCTGAATAATGAGAAATAAAATATCGGCAGCCGCCCACAAGCAGAAAATAACAGTTTTCGAAATGCGTACAAGGCAAAAAGTAAATAGTTCTTACACTAAGGCAAGCTGGAGCAAAAATAAAGGCAAAAAACCTTCAAAAGCGGCATCTGTCATTTCAAGAGCACGTTGATCCGCAAGATTCTGAAGACGACTGCCCGAGTCCCTAGGCTTCAGCTGAAGGGTCGGTCCTCCCAGCAATGTTGGAGTTCAGCGTGGCATCAGCTCCAGCTGCAAAAGAAGCGGGCTGAACTGGAGCTTGGGCTTCAGCTTCCTTCATCTCAACCTCCTCGGCCGCAGCATCCTCAGCTTGGAGATAGGCCAACAGATCGACCTTAGCCTGGCTAGCTTGCTACATATGAGGATCCTGGGGGTCTTCAGCCCAGATTTCACATTGATGCCAATCCTGGTCAGGTGCAGCATGGAGAGCCAATCTTCGAGCCACCCCATAGCCGTTGAGGTAGCCGGTCGAATACTCCTCCTGGGTATAAACCCTGAGGGCTAGATGAGCCTCAGCATCGGCCAGCTTCTTTTGTACCTCCTCCAAGGCCTTCTGGGAGGACTCCTGCTGCTCCTTCAGCTTAGCCTCGGCATCAGCAAGCCGCTGCTCAGTCTGTTCAGCCTTATCCTGGACGTGGGAAAGCTTCTCTTCCTGATTCTTCAGCTGGACCTCCAAGCTGGTGATGCTATGCCTCTGAGACTCAAGATGGACTCCAGCCTCGACCAGCTCGTTCTCCCTGCTTTCACAGGCTTGGCGATGACGGTTGGCATCAGACTCCAAGACCTTGATCTTCTGCCGAGATATTTCTTCTCGGGCCAACACTTGAGATTGAACCTCAGTGTCGATTTTGTGCTGGATCTTGGCTTTGAGGCTGGGGACGTCACCCGCGCCGAACGCTTTAAGCAAGGCCTCTCCCTCGTCTATCTGGGGCAAGACATCTTTCTCCATTTCAGCGCAGAAGGTGTTGAAGGAGTCGATCACAACCTTGGCTCTATGCTCATCGCTCTCCTGCTTCAGCTGGGCAAGCTTTGCCTCCGTTTCAGTAATGTCTACCCTCCCTTGGAGCGTATCAATCATCTCACGGGTCAGAGTATGATTGTAGACAACCCGCAGAATGGGAGTCCAATTCAAGGTAAATAAAATTACAAGTAAATAAAGCAAACAGGAACTGCAGAAGGTGCGAAATTTTATCATATACCTGCATCAACAGCCTCTGGTTGTCTCGCGCGGGATCTGGGACTGAGGGACCAGGTTCGGCAATTCCAGCGGTTGCCCGAACAGACCACTCTCGGACTTACTCCATTTCAGACAATTCGGAGCAAGCGCCGAAATAAGCCTCAGCGCTTTCTCCGTGTTTCCCCTAGATTTCGGCCCTAACGCCGGCTGGGATGGAGCACTTCTTGGCTGAGAACCCCATGTCCCCAGATTGAAAGGATTTGATAGAGGGGAATGAAGTTGAGGGAACTTCATCGGCTTTCTCGGGCGCAATCGTTGCCCCTCCTTCGGCGTGGTCCACTTCAGTCTGGACCCCTTCAACCTCCCCAAGAGATTGACTTATCAAGGCATCAACCTCCTGCTGGATCTCAGCAGTAAAGCCCCTAGGAGCCTCGTCTTCAGCAGCAGCCGCCTTCTCGGCTGCTTTAACATCTTCATCCTCAGGGAGCTCAGCAGCACTCCCCTTGTTAGAAACCGCCTCAGGAACCCCCTCCGTTGGGTCAGGAGTTCGCTGATCCACCTCCATATCGTCAGTAGGAGGAGGTGGTGGAGGGGTCCTCGGCGTTGACGGAATTGGTGGCGGTGGCTGAGTTGGGGCGGTGGACCCCCTATACCTCTAGGCACCCTGCCTCGGCCAGCGGCAGGCTGCATTATTACGACGCCAGGCATCGGCCTCAGTGTAAAATCCCCCGGACCCACTACAGCTGGGCCCGTCCTTCTTCTCTTCCCCTGTTCCAGAGGCTGATCATCCATGTCGTTAGAATCCGAAGAGTCGAGTTCTGAAAGATCTTCTGACGACTGTGAAGCCTTCCCCTCTTTCCTTCTGCCCTCTTCCTCAGACTGCAGAAGTGGGGGAGCAAGAAAGGATCAGCAAAAAAAAAAAAAAAAAGAAAAAAAAAAAAGCAAAGTGCTGAAGGCCTTACCAAAGTCCTCGGTTGAGCCTTGGCAACACCAGAAGTCCCTTCTCCCTTTTTCTAGGGAGTTGATTGCTCTGGTCACGTCCGCGACAGTTTGAGCGGCCCGCACTTCTTCGGGTAGCAAGGGCCTCAAAGGATCCTGCTTCTCCCACTAAGGCTTCTGCTTCAGATAGTCTACAGCAGCCTCAATCTGAAGGCCCGTTGAGTACAAATGCAACGGACGGTCCTTCGGACTAGTGATCGCAGGAGCTCGATCTAGAATGACCCTTTCAGCGTTCACTCCTAGCCGATCGAAGTCAATTCCGGAGGTGGCCTTGCTCAGCTCTGAAAGGAAAAAGTGAAGGTTAGCCTTAAGGAATAGACAAAACAAATAAAGCGGCAAGAAAACAAATAAAGCAAGTCCTCGGCCCCAGCCGAAGGTACTTACCGCCTCTGTGCTTTCGGCTGCGGCCGACAACTGCCAACATCTTCTCTTGGAAGACGTAATGGTTATCTGGAAGCCATCTCGTCGGGATGAACTTCATTCGGCCAGCTCCCCCAGGATTCTCCTGCTTGCCGAAGAATTCCATCTATTCATAACTAGGATGCCGAGCAGCATCGGGATCTTCAGAACCCAAGTCTTGCATGTTCGGATCGGGCCTGGAGAGATAGCGGGGGGGCTCGAAAAAGTGGGGGTGCTCTGGATCTGCTGGAGCCCTCACCCAGATCCACTGACCTCGCCAATCCTTGTCAGAAGAATCGTTCGGCCACATGGTTAAATATTGTGGGTGGCTCTCAATTCGCCACCAGCCAGGCCCGTGATGACCATATTGGCTCTGGGTGTTCTGCACTAGCTTGTGCATCTTTCGGAAACAGTGTAAACTCGGCTCAACAGCAAAAAACCGACACACCCAGAGATAAGTCATTACCCTCCGAACGCTGACAGGCGTCAACTGGCACAGGGAAATCCTGTACTTTATTAAAATGTCCCTGACGAAGGGATCTAAGGGGAACCGAAGCCCGTACTGCAATTGTCGAGTATATACCCCCACATACCGAAGGAGAGGACGATGAATTCTATCCGTCGGCGCGGCATTCGGCACCATTACCCATCTTCTTCAAAAACGCCATAATGCAACTCTATCTGTTCGGCAAACCGATAAGCTTCGGCATGCCTAACCCACCAATAGTAGGGGGCGTTTTTCCTCATGGCTCTCTGGGCTTCGGCATTTTGCCACTCAACGTGCCCAGGGAGCAAGTCCCAAAGCACGGGAGGCAGATCTTCCTCCTGTTCAGCGCCGCCAGCCTCGGCGCCTTGCTGGGGGGAGCAGCGTTCAAGGGGACGGCCGGAATACCCCTTTCAGGGTCTTCCTCGACTCGTTCCCCATTCCAAACATCGGCGCGATCCCTGGGGTCCCTGGCCTGACCTCGTCTTCCAGTCCGGCGTGCTCTTCCTCGAGCCATTGATGGATTCGCAAGAAAGGAAGTCGGGAAAAAGGGAGTTCTTTCGAAAAACTAAGAAAATTAAGGGGAATTCGAGGAAATTTACCTTTATGAGAATCGAAACTCGCCGATTCAGTCAGTCGGAGCAACGGGTTTGAGCGTCAAGCTTTGATTTCGGGGTGTGGAGTGAAGTTTCGAAGCGGAAACAATGGTTTCTCAGGGAGTTCGAGAGTGAATTGGTGAAGAAATGAGGAGAGAAATGGCGAATTTGGCTTTATATTTCCAGAAAATGGGAATTTCGAGAGTCAGAAGGCTTAATCTCTCTTAAATACCTCCTTAAGTAACCGTTAAACACTCTCTCTCTTAATTAACCGCCCATTATCCACTCAACTTCCCCACTAATTATCCTAATTACGGTTATTTAGTTGATCAAACCTTAATTTTTGTGTCTCTCTTCTTTGTTTCTTAGACACAAAAATGGTAGAAGCAATCATCTTGACTATTGCAAAACTCATTCTAGGAAAGATCGCTTCTGCCCCCGGTGATCTTGTCTATACCTACATTGCTGAAGAGATCAAAGGTGCAAAGTCAGTTAAGAAAGATCTCAAGATGATAGCCGACCAATTGGAGGCCATTTGCGCTGTTCTTGAAGATTCAGAGGAGGAGCAGCTTACTAATAATGCTTACAAAATTTGGCTTAGAGATCTTAAGAGCATTGTTTATGATATTGATGACCTCTTGGATGAAGTGGCCTTTGATGTTATGCAACGTCGTGTTAATCAAGGCCAACTTGGACGTCAGTTCAGGTACTATTTTTCCTTTTCAAATCCTGTAATTTCAACCTTTGGTTTGAGTCACAAAATAAGCAACCTCCGTAAAAAGCTAGAAAATATAGTGGCTAAGAAAAATGATTTTGAGTTAACCAAGCGTCCAGTCAAAACCTCTAAGGATGAGCCTAAAGAACCTTTAGGCGGATGTGCGTTTGTGTATGAGCCCGCTATTAAAGGAAGAAATGAGGCTAAGCAAGATATTATTAACATATTCAATGGTGTCAATAATGTTAGTAAACTCTCAGTGCTTCCTATAGTCGGGATGGGTGGGATCGGAAAAACAGCATTAGCTAGATTAGTGATTAATGATATTGAACACTTTGATCTTAAACTGTGGGCATGTGTATCTAACAAGTTTGATGTTTGTAAGATTATAGAGGACATTGTAAAAGATGGTAGTGATGACAATATAGGGAACCTTAATTCAAACACGTTGTTGAAAAAGCTCCGTAATTTATTAAACGAGAAAAGATACTTTCTTGTGTTGGATGATGTTTGGGTAGATAACATAAACTTGTGGAATGACCTTATGAACATACTTAAAATTGGCAAAGCTGGTAGTGCAATTTTGATCACTACAAGAATGGCTGAAGTTGCCTCAGTTACTCGAACTATGGAACCTTATAACTTGGAAAAGCTTCCATTTCCTGTTTGTTGGTCCATCTTTAAGCGATTAGCATTCATCGAAGGTGACGAAGCAAAGTATGACAACCTTTATGAGATTGGGAGATCTATAGTTGAGAAATGTTGTGGCATCCCTCTTGTTGTGAAGACTTTGGGGAGTTTGTTGAGGTTAAATAGGGACAAGCAAGAATGGCAACGAATTAGTAATATGGATAGCTTTACCGAGTTGAATCATCAATATGATAAGGTGATGCAACTCTTAAAATTAAGCTATGACTCACTTCCATCTCACTTGAAACCATGTTTTGCTCACATGTCATTATATGTGAAGGATTTGCATCTTTCTGCGGGGTATATACCATATATGTGGGGCGCACTTGGTCTATTGCCACAAAGCAATAGAAACAAAGATATTGAAGTTTGGGGGAACGAGTATCTTAAAAAACTAGCATCAATGTCTCTTCTACAAGAGCCGAGTTTTCGGTCAAATGGATGGCTTGAAGGGTGTAAAATGCATGATCTCTTGCATGATCTTGCTCTGAACGTTATGGGGGAAGAACTAGCAGTCGTAACTCAAGATGAAGTCATGGTTTCAGAATTTACTAGGCATATAGTTTGGGGATATGAGAGTTCTAATAGTTTAGAGGATGTTGAATTTCCTAAAGAGCTTCTGAAGGCCAAGAGTGCACGAACATTCCGACTTGGTTTTAAAATAAATTATATAAGCCAATCGTTTCTTCAAAAAATTCTTTCCACTTTTAGTTGTTTACGCATCCTGGAACTTGAAGGTAGTTCGTTTGAAGAACTACCAAGCTTGATCGGGAACTTGAAACATTTGAGATATCTCGACTTGTCAGGGAATTCTATCATACAATCTCTTCCAGAAGATATATGTGACTTGTTAAATCTAGAAGCGTTATATCTAGATGGATGTGAGCTATTAAAAGAGCTTCCAAGGGATATTCACCGGCTACAGAATTTAAGAAGTTTTACAGTGACAACATGCCAGAAGAGTTTGACTAGCACCAAATTGAATCAATTGAGTTGTCTTCGTTACATTTGGTTTGGTTCGTGTAAGAGATTAGAATCCTTATGGAACAACAACATTTTTGTAACAGGCCTCACTTCGCTGCAGACCTTTATCGTTGAGGACTGTCCGATATTGACAAGTCTTTCAAACAGCATGAAGTTCATTGGTCTGCAAACTTTAGAACTAGATAATTGTACAGAGCTAGATTTGGAGGAAGGAGGTGGCTTGCAAGGCCTTCAAAGCCTTCGGATATTAAGCATAACAGGAATACCAAAGTTAGCAAGTCTGCCGAATTGTATTCAGTCTGCTACGGCCTCCCTTCAAAATCTTTATATAATTAATTGTGTTAGTTTGGTGGAACTTCCAAATTGGTTACAACATTTTTCCTCTCTTCAGAAATTGAGAATCAAAGACTGTCAAAATATCTTGGCCGTGCCCAAGGGATTTCAGCATCTTAGATCACTGCAAGAACTCTGGATAATGAATTGCCCGCACCTATTACAAAGATTTGCTATACCAAGTGGAAAAGATTATTATCTGATACGACATGTTCCCAAAATCTGGCTTAATAATGTTCCTTACACTATACGAAGTAAATAATTGTGCAGGTATTCATTTCTATTCTCACTTATGGTTTTGTTGTATATCTCATTTATCTCTTGCAGTCTTTTTGCTGCGTTAATGATTATTTGATCTTCCCATAAATGCTCAGTACTTGTCCTCAAAAAAAAAAAAAAAAAAAAGCTCAGTACTTGAAAACATCAGTTGGAATAAAATCTGTGTTAAAAAATCTAGTAATATAATTCTGTGCTTTTGACATAAATAATTTTAATATTAACATTTAATGATAAGGTGGTTGTAATTTTCTTCCAAAACATTACAAAATGTCTTTTTGTGCAGATTCTGTACTTGTGTGGTGTTCCTGAAGTCCATCAAACTATTATGTATACCATAATTGTCAAATTCCTAGCTTCTGATGATCGAATGTGAGTGTATTAGTTTTGCTATGAGCTTTGAAGAGTTCCGTCCTGCTCCGGTGGGAGAGCTGTACCAAGATTCAAGATTCCCTGTTGCCCATCTCAACAAGGTGAGTCATTTTGGGACTTTTTAAAGCCAATCAAGCTTGGCGAAGATGATGGAGAACTCATTTTGTGACTTTGATGCCCAGTTTGAGCCTCACTTTTTATTTCTACTTGTTGGGTTGACTAATTAGACGAATTAATTGTATGAGATATCATTCTGTAAGTTCTATTTCTTTCCAAATTCAGAAATATAGTCAAGTCATTCACAATTATATAGGCATGTATGACTTTAATAATTTCATCCTTAATAAAGTACTTCGTATAATAATGATTGCTTTGGTAAAGAAAGATTATTGCAGAAATGAGAAATCTAAGCATTGTGTTACCTCTCACAATCCCAACTAGGCATATTTTTGAATCCAAGTTGGGTGTCTTTTGGAATTTCTTTTCAAGGTATAATGGTTTGTGTAGGGAATAAATTTCAAGCGTTAAACCCCTAGCTTGAACCCCACTGTGATCATACACTAAAGTACGGTGGCGTCCAAAAGGGAAGAAGATAGAGCAAAAGAGTTGCCAACAAGTTTTAGGAACTTGTAAACCGTTCACAGGGTCAAGGTTACACCCCTTAACGATCCAAGAGATCGTCAACTCCATAAGGTCTAGAACCAAATAAGGGTTCGGGGATGAAGGTACAAATCCAACCTAAAAGAGATTGAACCTGCCCTAATAATAGGCTTCTACTTTATTCTGATCGTATTCATGTGCGCTTTTCAACTAACATGCAATCAATAGGATTAACCTTAAACCTGTTTATCTATGTTGGTTGAATATTAATGCACAAATAAGACTATTATTGGCGATCACTTGAAATTGTAATCAAATTAACCCTAAACAAGATTATTAATTATCTTATTAAGCGTGATTACAAGTACCAAATTCCCTTTAAACATGCATAAAAGGTGTGATCAAGCAATAACAATAAAAATCAAGCAACATAATAAATTAATCATCATAAATAATTATCATAACAATAATAATAATCATCATTATAAAATTATAATCATAATCAAAACAATAATAATCATAAATAAAATAATCATCATCAAAATAATAATAATAATAATAATATTCATAATCATCATAAATTATAACAATTATAATCATAATCATGTTCATGTTAATATCCTAGACATGATACTAACAAGATTAATAAGAAACCCTAGCATGTCACTAAGCAATAAAAATCAAATCATTAACCCTAACATGATACTAACAATCATAAATATTAGGAAGAACATAGAAAGCATCATAACAATCATATTTAATATTAAAGTTACCCTAGACATGATACTAAGAATATCATAATAACAATATAAACATGATTTCTACATCATAATATCAATTAAAAACCATTAAAATACTTACTTTGATGCCTCGTACCTCTTTCTAATAACAAAATACACACGTTAGTAACTTCAAGGAAAATAATAAAACAAAACAATTAAATTAAATAATTGAAAGAGAGATTTGGGACCAAACTCTCAGAAATTAAACCTTTCACGTCTAGGGCGAAGACAACTTCGAACTTGGATAGGTGTTTCTAGATCTTGTGAATGCGGAATTTTGTATGTAAAAGCAAGGTTTAGAAAGAGAGAAAGAGAAAAAGAGAGATAGATGAATTGATTAAGGAAATCTTGATGAGAATTAGCGAATGAAAACTGATTGTAGGTGAATCAAAACGGAGTTTTTACGTCGTTATTTATAGAGAAAATCAGCCAAAAAGATAAATTAACAGAACAGAGTCCTGGCGCAACTGAAACAGAGCTGGCGTCAGGCACCAACACTAGCGCCAGGCGCCAGGCACCAACACTAGCGCCAGGCGCCAATGGCTGCCCAGGCGCCAGGCCTAGCTCCAGGCGCCAATGCCTGGAGTCAGGCGCCAGGTCTGTTTTTGACGCGTTTTCGAAAATCAGATAAGTTTTGCCATACAGGAGGATAAATCGTATCTTTTCCTCGAAAATGCTTTTTGATTTTAATTAAAACTCTGAAAAGTCAACAAAAGTCAATTTATCAATGCTAATTGAATTAGGAATGAAAAGAATTTTCTAGAAGAATCTAGAAGACTAAAACTATTCCTAATTGCATTAGGAATGATAAATCGTATTAGGCCCTCCTCTAGATCATTGGGCCGTATATAAGTCTCAAAACGGGCCCAGTTTGGTAAATTGGCCATAACTTCCTCAATATTCATCGGAATCGGGCTTATAATATATCGTTGGAAAGGTCTTGTCAAGCCCCATCCAACTACACTACTATTGGACCCATGTCATGGACCAACCAAACTGGATTGGCTATTTTCTTAAAATAAGTTTTCAAAAACAGAGAGAAGAGAAAAGAAATTAAAACTATCCGCAACACTAAACTTTCCACACTTTCGCTTCATTCGATTATGATTCGACTTGAAAGGTACTCATCACCGGGTTTGGTTTTGGGGAGACACAAATGGGTGTCTACAGTTTGGAATGTCAAGTAGCTAATAAGGCTAAATATAAATTAGAGCACTACTCTCCAAATATCAACATTTTCTTACTTTATTGTTCAACTTGTCAAACCTAAACCCATATTGTGTCGTCACATGCATTATAGCATTTTAAAGTATAAGATGTCTCAAAATATGATGATTTGGTCTCACTTGTATCCACCTTTGGCTTGCTCAACCGTCACAAGCCCCAAACACCTTGCTCGTTCGTGGCCTTTCGAGCCACGAGCATCCTTTTAAAATCATATGCATCGATGTTAGTGTTATTACATGCTCATAAGCCCATTAATTTCCATGCCAATTAAGTAGTTAAGTACCCTTAAGATCTAGACGAGACATGATGGTAAATAAAGATTAGGGGAGTGGTAGATTTATCTATAATCTATGTCAAGTTCTCATCAGTTAGTAGTTGAGTAAAATTATTTGACCATTCTAGTCTCATTGGAGTCAAATTGTATTGAGATATTCACACTTGTTCACCAACTCTGCTTCACCTACTCTTGCACTCTTGCCTTTCATCACCGTCTTTTTACCTGTTTTTAATGCAAAAGTATAACCTTGTGCCTTTCTCCTAAAATGATTTTACAAAATAAAAAAAAAATAAAAAAAAAAACTACTTCATTCTTTTCATTAAAAAGTTAATATACATCACCCTTTAATTAACTTTTGCATTTTAAAAATACTTTGTATAGTCCTTTATACACATTGTGTATGCTTAGATTTCTAGTAGTCAATTAAAAGATCAAATAATATTAAATGAGTGATTTTATAAAGAACTCTATTCTCTTCACATTTTTCAGCAAGGGCTGCTCCGAAAGTTAATTACAAAAAAGGACTTGGAATGAGCTGAGGCAGCTTCTTTGTCCTTACCAAGTTTGCTTTTGCTCAACAGCCAACCCTTATAAATACCCAATCAAATCCTCATTATTTGCATATCCAATTATCTCATTACCAACTCATTAGCAAATCTTCTTACTAAACTAATCTCTTCTTTCTTTTTAATATCTTGTCTTAACTTAATTTGTTACTTATAATCATGGGTGTTTTAACATGCACATTGGCTGACATCACTAGCCCAGTCGCGGCCTCCCGGTTGTTCCAAGCTCTAGCCATTGACAACCATAACTTTGTTCCTAAGGCTTTGCCTCAGTTCGCTAAATCTGTTGTGTTTGTTGAAGGTGACTCCACCACTGTTGGATGCGTCAAGCAGATCAATTTCCCTGATGGTTAGTTTTCACTTTTCTTACAACTATGTACGGCCCTGTTCACTTCACCTTATTTTTGCTGAATTAGAATTAGTTTTGTTGAACTGAACTTATTTTTATTGAAATGAAATTATTTTTACTAATATTACTACGTAGTATATAAGGTGAAGTGAACAGGGCCAACAAATTGTTATCTATATTCCCTCCGTTTTTATAGTTGTACCATAAGTCCAAATGTTTTTATTTATAAGTCAAAATTATGAAGTCCTAAACAACATTCTTAGGCTATATAGAACCGTGATCTTGCATGGACTTATACAACATACGTCTTTTTTTGTCATTCATTTTACAGCGTTAGTTTGACTTTTGTGTTTATCGATGCACAACTTTAATCATTAATATTTAATATGTTGAATGTTTTCGCAGAGGCTCCATTCAAATATGTGAAAAACAGAGTGGACGAGATTGATGCCAACAACTTCTACCTGAAGTACACTTGCATTGAAGGAGATGCGTTTCCTGATACAGTGGAGTACGCTGTGTATGAAGACAAGTACGAGGTGTCCGAAGCCGGAACCCGGTGCAAGATGGTAGCACACTACCACATGAAGGGAGACAGTGTGATGAAGGAAGAAGATCTTGAAAAGGCCAAAGAAGGAATTCAGAAGATGTTCAAGGCTGTTGAAGAGCACCTCATTGCCAACCCTCAAGTTTATGCTTGAACTACTTTGTACAACTTCATTAATTGTAATGAGTGACAAAAAAAAATAAGATTATGTAATGTGTGTGGAAATTTGCTTTTTTTTTTTTGGGGTGGTTTAATTTGAGATGTAAATTGTGAACTTGTAAGAGATGTTAAATTTCATCATGTGAGTACCTTTTTTTTTTGTGTGACTAATTAATAAAATAGAAGCTAAGAAGGGTTTTGAATGGTTTATATATGTCCAATTTCAAGGTGTTTGTTATCATTATTGTTCGTTTCAAAAGAAAATGCAACACTTTTTTAAATGAAAGAGTTTGCTAATTTTACTTGGCTATTTTTATTTCCCTTCCTAATCTCGGACAATATGTATCATGCAAATCTACTTTACAGTGAGTGCAAAATGAATATTTATCATAGTATCTCTAGAAGATCTTGTGTGAAACCAGTCTACAATAATATTATTGTGAATCTAAGGCTTATATGTACGCAACTGACATTATATATATTGAACATAGTGACCTCTAATTTTAACATAGTAATTTTAATTAAAACTTGTGTGACTTATAGTAGTATTATGAAATCTGAAGTACGATGTTACATTGAACATGGTGACCTGCCTATATTATTTATATAGACCTGTACATAAAAAAATACATAAAAAATAAATAAATAAAACCTATAGCCTTTATAACACCAAAATTATGACTTTTATTTCAACATAATAACCTTTATTTTAATATAGTGACTTTATTTTACTAATAAAACAAGCATAATGTCTGTAAATGTAAGTGATCCACAATAATTAGTGTGAACCCGATTCATTTAAGAATTTGTACGTACAATATCACAACCATTGATGGAATAGAGGACTTAAATCATTTATGGAGTCAAGTGTGCTCCATCTTTGTAGAGAAGAAATACAGGGAGGCGATTAGCCAGAAGAATTAAGAAATGTAACCATGATTGGGGACAATGGCAATACTTCTCCATCCCCATGCCTAAAGATAGAATCAAATTCCCCTATTTTTCTCAATCTGGGATACCTCACGGCAAATCCTATCTTCGAGAAGTTAATTACAGGATAATGAATGGGTTGGGGAATACATACGACACTAATTATATACCTGTTTCAATTTAGTTGTCACACTTTCGTTTTCACATGTCTTTCTCAATTTTATTTATAACACTTTAATTTTAATGACATATACCCGATAATATTTATATTTTCAATGTTTTCACTACCAAAAACTATGGCCTCATTGTTACATACATGGTGTGGTGTTTGTTTCTGTATTCAATTTAAAGGATTATTCACTGTTACCGACTTACTGATCACATTGATAAACCAACAATAAATTATCATGCATAAAAATGTATGTGCAATGGTTGGTGGAATGATTGAATTTGAGTATTACTTACAATTGTTTTTTATTAGCATATGCTTGTAACAACCAATGCACCTTGTGAGCTGAAAAAAAATAATTTGATACGTATAATATGGTAAAATATAGCATGTTGAGCCTATAATATGGTAAAATATATACGCTGGAAGTCTAGTCATATTTTCACCATTGTACTTATACAAGTATACAACCATATAAATTCTTGAGATGATATAATGATTGCTAGCTTGCTTTGCAAGAAAATATATATAGATTATTGAAAGTTGTTCATTATGTGTAATTTGGACAATCTTGGATATTAATTGATTTTTAGTTTAAGAAAAGAGCTATTTTTTGAATTCCCTTCTTTAAGCTAGGCAATGTTCTGTGACAGGCCAAATAAAAATCATGTAATTAAAAGCCTTATTATATAGGACAAACTTTAAATCCGCCATTAATAGATTGTCTTTATTTGATCTATATTTAGTAGTGAGTTCTTAATCAAAAAAATACCAGTTAATCAATTACATGAACAAAATTTGTTTATCAAATGGCAAAATTGTAATTAAATCAACAATTTTGTATTAAATTTGGGTCTCAATGTTGTTGATTTATTTACGAAAATGCCCTAATGACTGGACATATATGTTGTTTTACTTACCATTTTCCCCTTTGATAAACAAATTGATTAACTGGGACTATCTCGTTCTTAATCAATCTTATTCGGCTAATATGATCTGATCATGTCCTTTGCGTCAAATTGTATTGAGACATTCACACTCGCTTCGTTCGATTCACCAACTCTCCTTGTTTCACCAACTCTTGCCACACCAGCCAGGCCGCCTCCACCGTCTTATACCGACTTGTCTTTAATAATGCAAAAGCATACACTTAAGCTTTTTGCCCGACCTATAAACTATTGCTTTCTTCTTTGTAGAAATTAAAAATTAGACTATACTTCGTTTCTTTTTGAAGAGAATTAGACTATACTTTTGTAAGTCCTTATTAATAATTTCGTGTCAAAAAATGTGCTTTTTAAATTAACAATTTTTATGATTAACGTTAGTTATTAAAAAAAAGGATCGGAGTACGTAGTAATATTAGTTATTGGATGTATTATTTGCTAAAAGCACAGAGAATAGGTTAAATTGAACAAACTCAATTGCTTGATTTTCATTGATACGGCCATAGCCAATATATAATACAAGGTTTCCCTAATATGATAAAATTAGGAAATATCACAAAGATATCAAAAGATATATTCTAGGCACAAAATATGGCCGCCAAATATTATCATATATTTTCCTAAAATATAATATCCTCAATATTATTTGATGATAAGATTATTAGATGTTAATTATATGATAGACAATATCTCTCTTCTATCCTCTCTAAGAAAAACTTTAGACTCCAATCACTCCATTGTTGATTTTTGTAGGGCTTCCATTGGTTTTTACTGATAGAAAGCCTCAACTTTCTTTTCTTCTTTTTTTTCATTTTTTTTAGGCGTGTGTTTATAATAATGATTTCTCTCTCGAAAGAAAGGGTTTTCGATCTCTTTCGAAATACCACAAGGTTTTATCAATCTCCTTTGAAAGACAAGATTATTCGATCTCCTTCGAAATACATGGTTTTTCTCCTCTTTCTGAAAGGGAATTTCTTTTGTTTAAAATATGGGTTAATAGATCAGCGGTCATAGTTTTTATAAAGGAAATTTGTATTTGAATCAAATTACGTATTTGTTAAATTCGATTATTGTTGTAGATGTTGGACGACTTTTTATTAATGATTTAATTTTTAGTATTAAAAATTATAATAGGCAATATAAAGTAAGAATAATCAATTGAGTTATTAGATAATATCAAATCAACATTACAAATTAAATATTACATAAATCACTAATATAGTAAGAAGGAAAAAAAAACACTAATGATATATATATATATATATATATATATATAATAAATAAATATAATATATATATATATATATATATATATATATATATATATATATATATATATAGGGGAGGGATCATGTGAGAACCAAGCCTTATATGAGAACCAAGTTAAAATGAGAACCAATCTTATGCCATTAAAAATTATGAAACTAACTGCTGAGATTAGACATATGCACATGTATACCCACTGTGCATTTATTGAGACAATGATCACGTTTTCCCTCGAAAATTTAAAACTGCAATTTTAATGTCTAATCAAAACTAACGGTTGGTTTGCTTCCCTTACACACCGATTATTCTTACAAATTTACATCATTTCAAAAACCAATTATCTTACTTCAATTGTGTTCACGCCCATAGCTTGCATTGGGAGAAAAACGGAAGTAACTGCTACACTGTTCTATAAAAACCCCAAAAACTACCCAAAAATACCCATTCTCGATTTTGTTAGCAAAATGAAAAAACAAACGCAGAAAAAGGACTACTGAAGCAAGGAGAGTTTCAAGAAATTTCAGTAAGTTTTTTATAATTCAGTAAATTATGATGAAAATAAGATAATGTAAACAGTTAGGGTTTTAAATTTTCAAAATGTTTGGTTTTTAACAGAGAAAGGTTGCGAAGAGAGTTGGATGGAGTGGAGGGGGAAAACCCTACGGAGGAGGCCGGCGTTCCCGCTGCAGCCGAACAAGCGACGGAAAACATACAACCACCAACGACGGAAGCTCAATTAACAAAGTAATGTTTCCAATTTTATTGTTAATGTCGCGCGAATTATACTTAGGGTTTCAAAAATTACATAGATTGTGTTTTGGCATTTCAAATTACTGCAACTAGGGAGGAGGCCGGCGTTCCCGCTGCAGCCGAACAACCGACGGAAAACGTACAACCACCAACGGCGGAAGCTCAATTGACAAAGTAATGTTTCCAATTTTATTGTTAATGTCGCGCGAATTATACTTAGGGTTTCAAAAATTATATAGATTATGTTTTGGCATTTTTCAAATTACTGCAACTAGGGATTTAAAATTAGAATCAAATTAATTTTGTTCCATAATTTTGTTATAGTGTTTCTATATTTGGAAATATTGTAACGGAAAAATGAACCATTGTTTCTGAACGTTGTTATGTTTTGAATTATAAGAGTAATTTTGATTTGTTCCATAAGTTGTTGTTATTGTTTCAAAATTAAATAAACTAATGTCACAGTCAATTGTGTTGTTAAAATGTAGATTAATTGTAATTTAATTATGTTTCATAAAATATATAAAGTGTTATAATTGTTCAAATCAATGTTTCATTTATTATATTGCTTGTTTCATGTAGTTTGGTCCTTTATGAACTAGATGTAGTAATATGGTTTCGTTTTGTTTGTAAGATGGTTCATATTTTCATATCAATGATTCATATATTATATTGCTTGTTTCATAATGTTGGGTTCTTTATGAACTAAATGTAGTGATATGCGTTCGTTTTGTTTGTTAGATGTCTCAATTGTTTCAGATTAATGTTTCATTTATTATATTTCTTGTTTCATATAGTTGGGTTCCATATGAACTAGGTGTAGTGATATGTTATACAATATGTTTCAAAAAATCACACCATATGTTTCATTTATTTATGTATATGTTCCAAACAATTGTGTTGTCAACGTTATGTTAAAATGTAGTTGAATTGTTTTTTTAATGATGATTCATAAAATATGCAAATTGTTTCAGTTTTTCATATAAATGTTTCATATAATATATAAATTAATTCAGTTTTCCATTTTTCGGAATAATAACAATTTTGTTTCATTTTTTATTAATTATGTTCCATAAAATACATGTATTGTTTCATATACTAATTACATTGTTTCATGCATTAAATCTATTTTGTTTCATATTTTATATTAG